AAGTAACCTCTTAACATTCTTAATTGCTCCTTGTCCATTGTGATGCTTGACAATAGTCAAAGTCGTAAATCCCCCTTGAGTGCATTCAGAGCTACCCATCTTAAATCTTGTAAGGGTTAATTACTTCCTTACACAAGACAAACTGTACAAAAACAGTGTATAAGACACTTAGGACAGCTGCAGTGGAATTTTCACAGTCTTGTCTCCGTTATTCTAAACACAGTTCAGGAGATCTACCCTTGGAGGATTCTAACTCAAATTATAAAACAAATGACAAGGCAAACAATAAAAATAACTTAAAACCCACAGATATATTCCACTATCTCAAGATTCCTTTCACAAGACATAACACAACATCCACCTGAATATAACCATAATACCACAGAAAACAAGTTCTTTAGATCAGACGTTTTTAAAATCCTTACCCACCCGGACAGGGGTCTCAAAGAGCACCAGAGAATCAAAATCATTTACAGGCAGAAAAATAAAACCTTTTTCTTACCCGCTGCAGCTGATTAACCGTCTGGGCTCCGAGCCAACCCTTCTGGGTCCGGATGAACTGGATTCATCTGATCCCGGGGTCACGGCACCAAATTGTTGTGGATCCAAATAATGATCTTTGTTATATTCAGAGGAAGCCCAAATTGTTGTTCACAAGTGCACTTGGAGAAGCGAGAATTAGACACCAGACACCTGTTGGTATTCAAAAAAGGCCTCTGGCGTTTTATTCATCAGTTGGATTTTATACATTAAAAAGTAAGTGCTTACGTGCAAATACTCAGAACAGTAATAGGAAGGGAGTACAGATAAGACATAGGGACATGCACACATAAAAAATAAGTTCCAAGGTAATAAAGAACAAAATGATTAGAGAAGAGACATCTCAGGTGGGGGCTCTCTGCTCCCAGAACTAGACATATCTGGTCTTAAGTGTTGTGTTAAGCATCAATCATTCCCTGAGTCCAAGTTAGACAATTTTAATATAGGATATCATTATATGTCACCTATAAGCTTGAGCCTTGGAATCAAGATAAATTCTATCACAAATCGTCTAATACTGCGCTTACAGCACAGTGGTAAACATTCTTATTTTCTGGGTGTTAATCTGCTAAATAGTACTTTTTGTGGCCTGCTTTTCATATCTTAGTCAAATAGAAGCTTCTAATAGTGCGCTTACAGCGCAGTGGTAAACATTCTTATTTTCTGGGTGCTAATCTGCTAAATAGTACATTTGCGGCCTGCGGTACACTTCATATGTGAGTCAAATAGAAGCGTCTAATGATGCGTTTACAGGGCAGTGGTAAACATTCTTATTTTCTGCTAATCTGCTAAATAGTACATTTTGGGGCTTGTACTTCATATCTGAGAGTCAAATAGAAGCGCCTAATACTGCGGTTACAGAGCAATTGTAAACATTCTAATTGTTTATCTGCTAATCTGCTAAGTAGTACATTTGCGGCCTTCGGTGTACTACATATCTAAGAGTCAAATACAGGGAGTGCAGAATGATTAGGCAAGTTGTATTTTTGAGGATTAATTTTATTATTGAACAACAACCATGTTCTCAATGAACCCAAAAAACTCATTAATATCAAAGCTGAATATTTTTTGGAAGTAGTTTTTAGTTTGTTTTTAGTTATAGCTATGTTAGGGGGATATCTGTGTGTGCAGGTGACTATTACTGTGCATAATTATTAGGCAACTTAACAAAAAACAAATATATACCCATTTCAATTATTTATTATTACCAGTGAAACCAATATAACATCTCAAGATTCACAAATATACATTTCTGACATTCAAAAACAAAACAAAAACAAATCAGTGACCAATATAGCCACCTTTCTTTGCAAGGACACTCAAAAGCCTGCCATCCATGGATTCTGTCAGTGTTTTGATCTGTTCACCATCAACATTGCGTGCAGCAGCAACCACAGCCTCCCAGACACTGTTCAGAGAGGTGTACTGTTTTCCCTCCTTGTAAATCTCACATTTGATGATGGACCACGGGTTCTCAATGGGGTTCAGATCAGGTGAACAAGGAGGCCATGTCATTAGATTTTCTTCTTTTATACCCTTTCTTGCCAGCCACGCTGTGGAGTACTTGGACGCGTGTGATGGAGCATTGTCCTGCATGAAAATCATGTTTTTCTTGAAGGATGCAGACTTCTTCCTGTACCACTGCTTGAAGAAGGTGTCTTCCAGGAACTGGCAGTAGGACTGGGAGTTGAGCTTGACTCCATCCTCAACCCGAAAAGGCCCCACAAGCTCATCTTTGATGATACCAGCCCAAACCAGTACTCCACCTCCACCTTGCTGGCGTCTGAGTCGGACTGGAGCTCTCTGCCCTTTACCAATCCAGCCACGGGCCCATCCATCTGGCCCATCAAGACTCACTCTCATTTCATCAGTCCATAAAACCTTAGAAAAATCAGTCTTGAGATATTTCTTGGCCCAGTCTTGACGTTTCAGCTTGTGTGTCTTGTTCAGTGGTGGTCGTCTTTCAGCCTTTCTTACCTTGGCCATGTCTCTGAGTATTGCACACCTTGTGCTTTTGGGCACTCCAGTGATGTTGCAGCTCTGAAATATGGCCAAACTGGTGGCAAGTGGCATCGTGGCAGCTGCACGCTTGACTTTTCTCAGTTCATGGGCAGTTATTTTGCGCCTTGGTTTTTCCACACGCTTCTTGCGACCCTGTTGACTATTTTGAATGAAACGCTTGATTGTTCGATGATCACGCTTCAGAAGCTTTGCAATTTTAAGAGTGCTGCATCCCTCTGCAAGATATCTCACTATTTTTGACTTTTCTGAGCCTGTCAAGTCCTTCTTTTGACCCATTTTGCCAAAGGAAAGGAAGTTGCCTAATAATTATGCACACCTGATATAGGGTGTTGATGTCATTAGACCACACCCCTTCTCATTACAGAGATGCACATCACCTAATATGCTTAATTGGTAGTAGGCTTTCGAGCCTATACAGCTTGGAGTAAGACAACATGCATAAAGAGGATGATGTGGTCAAAATACTAATTTGCCTAATAATTCTGCACTCCCTGTTGAAGTGTCAAATAGTGCGCTTACTGCGCAGTTGTAAACATTCTAATTGTTTTGCTGTTTACATTGGAGTTTTAAAAAGTCCATTCACTTCATATCTGAGAGTCAAATCGAAACATCATTTTGATTCGAATTTACTACATCGGTCACTTGTAATATTGTTTCACACCTACAACACTTGTTACACAGATCTAAGTGATAGAAAACAGATTCATATTTTCTACACTAGAAACTACCAGATATCAAGCTGCAATATTCAAACCAGTGATCAATAGCTAAGAGGTACTTCAACAATATTGTAATTCTGGGGCAATACCCTCACAAGTCAAACTGAGAGGTCAGTTTATAGGGAAAACTGTTGCCTGGAGGAAATTCTAAAACAATTTCCATATATCCTTTGCAGACTTTACATGCTGGAAAAACACAGGTGCCAACTGCTGTGGCTTTCTGCAGTGTGCATACTGGCAAGGAGGGCAGGGTTAAGGAGTGGGTGTAAGATGATGTGTGCTAATCTGCTAAATAGTACATTTTGTGGCCTGCTCTTCATATCTTAGAGTCAAATTGAAGCGTCTAATACTGAGCTTACAGCACAGTGATAAACATTCTTATTTTCTGGGTGCTAATCTGCTAAATAGTACATTTGCGGCCCTCGATGCACTTCATATGTGAGAGTCAAAGAGAAGCGTCTAATACTGCGGTTACAGCGCAATTGTAAACATTCTAATTGTTTTGCTGCTAAATAGTACATTTGCGGCCTGCGGTGTACTTCATATGTGAGAGTCAAATAGAAGCGTCAAATAGTGCGCTTACTGCGCAGTTGTAAACATTCTAATTGTTTTGCTGCGAATCTGCTGCTTACATTAGAGTTTTAAAAAGCGGTTTTTTTTTTTTGTTGTTTTGGTGCTAAATAGTATTTTTGGGGTGTTCACTTCATATCTGAGAGTCAAATCGAAACGTAACTTTGATTCAAATTTACTACATCGGTCACTTGTAATATTGTTTCACACCTACAACACTTGTTACACAGATCTAAGTGATAGAAAACAGATTGATATTTTCTACACTTGAAACTACCAGATAACAAGCTGCTATATTCAAACCAGTGATCAATAGCTAAGAGGTACTTCAGCAATATTGAAATTCGGGGGCAATACCCTCACAAGTCAAACTGAGAGGTCAGTTTATAGGGAAAACTGTTGCCTGGATACAATTCTAAAACAATTTCCATATGTCCTTTGCAGACTTTTTACATGCTGGAAAAACACAGGTGCCAACTGCTGTGGCTTTCTGTAGTGTGCATACCGGCAAGAAGGGCAGGGTTGAGGAGTGGGTGGAAGATGATGTGGAGGATGATGAGGTCCTAGACCCCACATGGAATCAAGGTCATGCGAGTGATGTGTGCAGTTTGGAGGAAAAGGCGCTGGTCGCACAGAGGCACCAGCACAGCATAAGAGGGAGCAGGGTGCAAAAGCGGAGCGGCCATTCCCTAACACTCTACAGAATGTATTAGCTCGAGAATTACCAGTTATCCAAGTAGACTTGAGCGAACCTGAACTGCAAAGTTCAGGTTCGTACCAGATTTAACGATCCATTTGTAGTTTCACAGTGAGGTGGGCAGTCCCACACTGTCTGGGCGGGAGTCGGACGACCGGGACCCAGTGTGCCTGATGTTGAAGTTAGGAGTCACAGTATGGAATGGAATAGCAGGGTCTGGTGCAGGGTAACCGCACACCCCTGGTGTTAAGCACCAGCATTTGTGCGGCCACATACTAGGACCCTGATGCAGCTTCAGTAAAAAGAGTACTTGATACCAGAAGCCATCACCAGACTGATCTGCAACTTGGAACAGGATGTGACATTCACTGTAGCGGCTGTGCGCGCTTTTGGTCGTAACTTCGGCCTTCCCGCTCACCACCTCATGAGACTGTGCGAGCAGCAGCAGTCGATAGTGGAGTTTCAGCTGCAGCACGCATGGGTCAGTGGCTCTGCACCAGACTTCCCTCCAATTGATCAGAGTTAAATGATTTCAAGTGGACTCATTACAATTACAGGACCTCTAAAGAGTCCTGTATTGTTATTTGTCGTCACTACCTTCCCGCGTTGGGAATGGGTCATTTGCACGCCTGCTGCCTTCCTTGCATGTGGTAGCAGTTTCCCATGGTCCCTGTACGGAATGGAACCCTGATTCCCAGTTACCTGTGGTCACCACGGTAGACACAGAAACTGGCATCGAAAATTGATATGGATGACATCCGCATGCAAAGTCGCCGCCACGGGAATGTGCGATTTGCCCAAGGTTCTCTAGAGTCAACAAAGTTCCTGCGCAACTATAATGTCAACAGCTACTCTGCAGAACAGAGTTGTCTTTTTTTCATATGTCCCAATATTTTGGGAGCTACCCCAATAAAAAAAAATATATATATATATAACTAGAGAAAATTCCTTGCACTCATGTAATCCATAGTAAAGCTGGGTGCACAAGCCAACTGGCAAATGTAAATATAGAAACAAATTAATGGCGAAGGCTGCACTCTTCAGTCTTCTTAATAAAAATTGCAAAATACTTTATTCGGTATGCATTAAAAAATGACATTTTAACTCCTTAGTGGAAGTGCCCCTTAAGCACCTTAAGTTATATTTCATAGGTGGATTCAGTTTGATTTTAATGGACAATTTTTTCTCACAAGCTGGAGGGTATTCAGAACAAGCTGATACCCTACAATTTACAGATGAAGAAGCCCAACAAATCCTGTGGGAACAGTCCAGCTTGCAATTACCTCAACAATGGACTGGTAAAGATGTTTATTTCAAATTACTTCGGTTGCATAAAAAGTACATAGATTTGGATCTGCATGGATTATTCTTGTCTGATTATTATAAAGCTAAAAGAATTCCAAGGGGATTTAG